GAGCCTAATTTCACTCTCAGATGGGTCCTGGTTTGAACAACAAATTATATGGTCAGTGTGGTGAGGATTCATTGCTGTCATTCTTTTTGACACCCAAATTTGACCGGTAGTGTCCCTTCTAAGCTAGTTTATGTGACTTTTTGAGAGAACCCAATTAGTTCTTCCTTTTCTGGCATAACAAAATGTTGCAGGGATTATACTTTTCCTACCGAGGTCTGTAGTCAGCCATTTCTTTAAGAAGCCCTGCTTCATTTTAGTGGTATTTAGAAACCAAGAGTTCAAACGTGGATAGATTTTGATTGGTGAGAAAAGGAGGTGGAGCAGTTAGAGAAAAGCATTCCACAAATAAAAATTTAAAAAGCAGACAGTTTCCCAAAGATACTGAGGTGGGAGAATAGAAAATTTATTCAGGAGAGTCTATGTAAAACTGAATGAAATGGCATATGAGATTCCTAAAAGAAGTATATTATAATATTAGAGCAGAAAGATACATTGAGACCAATAATGAAAGGATTTAAACGTCAGACTGAGGGTCTTTGACTTCATTCTGTATTCAGGACAGTGACATAATGGGTCTTGGAGTTACTGGTCCTAGAGGTGGGAAACCCAGTTAGGCTATTATAATCTACACAATCTGTAATAAAGTCCTGAATCTATGGGTAAGATCATGATAATCCAGAGGAAGGAACCAAATTCAGCAGACACTACAGCAGAGAAAGCAAAAAGGGGGACGGGAGCATAACAGAAGCATGACTAAGAGGCCCACAGTGTCAGATGACTCTGAGCTGTCTAACCTAAGCAGCGGAGGCTGGAGATGCCATTAATTGCCATAGAGAACACAGGAATAGGTGAAAGAGGAAGACAGATATTTTATTCGGAAAAATCCCTTGGCAATATAGTGATAGAGTAGTATAACCTTATTGAAGTTCCATCTGGTAGAACTGTATTTAGGGAACAGTAGAACAATATTTAGGAAATAAGGTTTTTGTTGTCACTGAAAGGTAACCATAATGAGATTCCCATCTGTGGAAAAGCATAAAGATTTGGATATCAATGGCTCTCTCATGAGTTATTTCAGATTCTTTATTTCAGAGAAATGCACTTCTTGCCTCATTTCCAAATAGACCAAAAAAAATCTCCAAGAATCCAGACTGCGTAATTTCTTGTGTCGGTGATTAACCCCTCATAATCTAAACATCATTTCAAATTTTAATCACATTTTGGAAAATACAAACATGTTTTCTATTTTGCTGTGTTAAAAATGTCAGCATGGTTATAGCCTCCATGTTACTTTTTGTCTTGACCCAGTCTTCCTCCCCACAGCCTGATACAGAATAATTTGGTTGCAAGCGTATTTTCCCCACCTAACCAGAGACAGCACTACACTGGTTATCTAGTTATGAGTCAGTATATTTGATTTTTCAAACAAAAGCCTTTGGAGAGAAGAAAGACGAGGAGAAAGCCATATAACCAAAATTGGGATTACCTAATTCTAATTAAGTTTGCTATTTTGAATATAAGCAAAGTGATAGCATCTGGCAGAGTGTGGAATAAGGGAACTGAAGTATTCTGATGGATCTGGTTATTAGTGGATGACTACCTTTAATGTAGGAAACTTGAGCAACATTAGCTTAATGTGATTAGGAAGGAATTAAAATAATTTCTGATTTATCATCACTAACAACAGGATATGGCAAAAAGCAAAATGTGGGGATTCTAGTCCTAGCCCTATTGTAATACCTTGAATGGATCTCTTAAACCTTCTTGGGTTATCATTTCCTCTTCTATGAAATTGAGTGGGTTAGGAGTCCCCCAAGACCACTCTGAGGCTCAATGATTCACTAGAAGAATTTGCAGGGCTCAAAAAAAGCTTTTATACTCACAGTAACAGTTTATTACTGTTAAGGATACAGATTAAAATCAGTGAAAGGAAAAGACACTTGCAGGAAGTCCAGAAGAAATGAGGCATAAGCTTGCAGGTGTCCTCTCCCAGTATAGTCACATGGACCCACTCCCAGCAATGATGTGTGACAACCAGGGAAGCTCCCTTGAGCCTTGGTGCCTAGAGTTTTTATTGGGAGCCTGTCACATAGGCAGGAATTACCTCGATAATCCGGGGTAATATCCACACCTTAAAATCATTTCATTATGGATCATTCCAAGTCACTTTAGCTAGGTACATAACAAGCCGTTTTGTTAAGGTTTTTGTTTGGTTGTTTTTTTGCAGAAATTTTTTTGGCATTATAGTTTTGTTTTTTTCCTACTGTTTGGTTTTTCTTCTTCAGAGACCCCAGTTATACATATGTGGGATCATCCTTTGCCACTTTCTTTCTGTCCCTTTTTCTTTATTCCATTTTCATTTTCTTGGTAGTTTTCTTGACTTTCTTTAGTATCGCTTATTGAATTTTTCTTTGAATCTGTTCTCCGTTTCTGAGATGATTTTTCTTTTCCATCAATGTATTTCTAAGCTTTATCAACTGTTGATGCATTTCTGTGTTTTACCTATTTCTGTTCTTAAGAAGTGTTTTAATTTCTGACTTTGCATATTTTTTATATAACCCCAAATGCTTGTTTGAGGCTTCCTAATGGAATTTAGAGAGTTATGTTACAATTGTCTGTTGTTTCATGATTAATTTTTTAGTAGGGAATCTATCAGATAAAATGTTTTGGTTTACATTTTCTGTTTTCTTCTTCCATTAATTTTATAGAAATTTGATTTTTTTTCTTTTCTTAATCCTAGCCATTTTGTAGACAGGGTACACCATATGTCAGTATGGCAAAGTGAAGTTTTTTTAATGGATGATGATGTCTGGTCTTTTGTCTCTGTAGAGTCCTTAATTTCTCTCTCTTTCTTTCCTCACCTTCATCTTTATATCTGAAAGGAGGAGCACAACCCCTATTTATCTGATTCTTCTCAGAGCAGTGCTTCTTGAGGCCACTGCCTTCAGAACCACTCATTTTCAAGCCCTTCTCTATGGCCAGTGCTATGAATTACCAAGTCTCAGGCTTGTGTTCAGCATTTTGACTCTTTGTAGTAGTTTTTGCTTTCTGGTAGTGCTTTTTGTCTGTCACATGTATGCCCTCCACTCCCACTCTCCTCTTTTTCTACCAGTATCTTAATCTTCCATTCTCTGGCTCTCCATAGTCACAAGCTTATAGCAGCAGTGAGAGGTCTATTAAATTTGGTATTAGTTTCTCTACTTACAGATATTTTGAAGTTTATGGTATCCTCTATCTCCTGATAATGCCCAAGGCATGATTCATGTTTGGTTTTATTTGTACTTCTTGTTGAATTTATTGTTTTGGAGGGAATATGTGGATGAGTTGCAATTCAGGAAACATTATTATCTTCTGCACTTATTTAAGTTCATGTTAGGAATAAAATTTAATCAATTCACTCTTTAGAATGATTTTTTTTTTTCTTACAGGGTAGAAAAAGGTGCTTGTAGCCAGGCATTGACAAAGACAGGGCAAGTCTTAAAAAAGGCAGGGCAAGTCTTTGGATTTGTTAACTATAATTTAAATAGTTTTATTAACTTGAAACTGCCTCAGGGAGGCCATCTCCCAAATTAGTTCGTCAGTTACCAAAGACATTTTCAGGCAAAAATATGTCACATAACGAATTTTATATACATATATATCATATATACCATATATATGATATATATGTAATATGTATGCACATAAAATTTAAAAATGAATCTATCATTTATGTATTGTTTATGTAGATTTGTTTTACATACACATTTTTTGCAATTGTGTTAGTGTATACAAAATGAACTTGAGTCTTTAGTTTCAGAAACAGTGCTTTCTGATCTTTTTGACATTGGATCATCATCAGTATTTTATTTTTTCCATTCTGCTCTCTTTCCAAAAGTGCAGTATAGCTTTTTAATACAGAATGTAGTAATTTTCCAAAAGAAGTTACACAAACTAATATACACAAGGATAGTCATCACATTCGTATTTATAAAAAGATCAAAATCCGAAAATACGTTAATATCCACTAGTAAGAGATTGGTTAAATAAGGGCAGCAATGTAAAAGAATTAAAAAATGATTATACGTTTGCCTTGTCATTAAATGATAAAGCTAGTTTACAAAATGCTGTGGTCCTGTTTTTGTATATAATTTAAGTGCCATTTTCACGTAATTTGTGCACAATTTTTGTCATATCACATATCTACCTTACTGTCAATGTTGTTTAAAAATCAACTGTATGATTTTTTTATTTAGCTTTCTTCTAAACAATATTATGAAAAAAACCACATGAATGTTAATTGTATTTTTTCATGTACATTAGAATAACTTGTTAACTACTAGCATAGAAAAATTTCATTTTTGTATGATCTCAAGTTATTCTTCATTCCCTTAGTAGAATGCATATCAAACTTAAATGCTCTGAAAGAAACGTGTAGAAGGGTATATAATAAAATTACAACCATGTAAACATTGCCAGTAATTTTACTTATTTTTCTCTCTGCTTTTCTGTGTTTTTTAATTTTCTAAAATAAATCTGGAATAATTTCTTGCATAATGGAAAAGTATTTTGTGGCTTAGAATTCATTAATTAAGAATTAAAATTAAGTATTTTTCTATAAATTTCTACATTTCTCTATAAATTGACGAAATTGCCCATGTCCTGAAGTGTGATTAAAATAAGTAATAATTTCTTTAAACTTAAGAAGTCTTAAGTTAACATTTTAAATTATTTTAATCTTATTTCAGTTAAAGAAATGTTTTCATTATTCTGGAGATTTTATGGCACATTGAATTTTCTGGCTTCCATGGAATCTGAATGTAGTTGTCTTAGGAGGATTAGCATTTTGATTCATTTTGCTGTGGCTTTTTTCATAGCATGATAATTTCTTATTGTGTTAGGAGGTATTCTCTTCTAAAAATTAAGAAGTTATTTAATATCACATATCTTAAAAACAAAACATGGGAAGGAATTTAAAATTAGACTCATAACTAAAATTATTTTGTTTTATTCTTTTACAGGAATTGAAACCTGATATAGTAACTAAATCTGCTCTTAGTGATGATATCAGCTTTGAAAAAATCTGCAAAAAGGTATATCTGCAATGGATTATATTTCTTTTAAGAAAAGTTCGTTATTTACTTTGTTGACTTACCTTTTTCTTGTCACTTTTTTCCTTGAAGAGAAAACTAATCAAGAAGTCAGTTACTATTAGTATATAATGATTTTTCTGCACTTGAGCTCCAATATTGCCACCAAAAAAATATTTTTATGGTAATTATGAATTTTGCTTTGCTGTGATGTCACACCTTCAAGGTCCTTAAAGGTATGTTGAACTTAATGTGGCATTTGTATGTTAGATAACAGTTAGTCTGTTAATCTTACTAGTTAGAACAAAGAATCTTTCTTTTTATTTTCAAATAATTTTCATGAATATTTTATTTAATCCCTGAATTCACCCTGTGAAACATTATTTTTACAAACAAGGAAACTGAAGCTCAGAAAGAATGAAGTGAGCTGATTAAGGCTGTACCACTGTTAGGTGGCACGGTTAGGACTTTTACCTAGATCTTCTGCTCTTTGGATTTGCCACTCCTGCTTCTTCCTTCCTATTTCCGCTTTTCATTTCCACCCACTTTGCTAATGCCTGCATGAGACAGTTCCACATCAAAACAGATTTTGGATTGATTGATTTTCCTCTCTTGCTTTTCTATTTTCCCCTTCATAGACATTTGCTCTAATAATGTATATTATTTCTTCTTGCATTTGTGTTTGCTCTTTTTCTAGTTTCTTAATGTGGAAGCTTAAATTACTGATTTTAGACCTTTTTTCTTTTCTAATGTAAGCATTTAGTGCTATAAATTTCTCTCTAAGCACTACTTTAGCTCCATCACATAAATTTGATATGTTGTATTTTCATTTTCTTTGAGTTCAGAATGTTTTAAATTTCCCTTGAAACTTCATATTTGACCCATGGTTTAATTAGAAGTATGTTGTTTAATTTCTGGACAGTTAGAGGGTTTTCCAGGTATCTTTTTGTTACTGTTTCCTTTATGATTCCTGAGCATACTTTTTATGATTTTTGTTCTTTTAACTTTGTTATTTGGGTTATGGTCCAGAATATGGGTCATCTTGGTGAATATTTCATGTGCGCTTGAAAACAATATGTATTCTATTGGGATCAGTGTCATACAAATGTCAGTTAAGTCAAACTGGTTGATAGTGTTGTTCAGGTGATTTATATCTTTACTGATTTTCTGACTACTTGTTTTATCAATTACTAAGAGAGGTATGTTGGAATCTCCAACTATAAATGTCAGTTTGCCTATTCCAGCCTTAAGGAAAAAAATATTCTGATTCTACATTTATGTAGACTAGCACTTACTTCTCTACAATTAATTGATATTAGACATGTTAAATTTTAAAGCATTTTATTTAAGAAAGCCAGAATGTGAAAGATTTTTGTTTGTTTGAGGGAAGGGAAGATTTGTTGTCGTTGTCATCGTCCTCGTCAGAAAAGCAAGACCAAAGTCATGAGCCTGATTTTACAATAGCCTCTTTATTTTATACTAGCATGATTCTACAGTAAATATTCTTATTTCATAGGATTCATTCATAAAGAGTGGAAAGAAGTTTAGCCCTATTATAGTTTTAAACTTGTGGTGTGGTCAGTATCTCAGACAAAATAATGACATGTTAAATAGAATAGTGGTAATTGTATAAAAATATGGCAGAATATATTTTTGTTTTCTCTTGAGAGTTTAAAAAAATAATAATGTAAGATTTTTACCAGAATAAATTTTTTGAACTTTCTCATTGCTAAATTCTAAAAGTAATTCATTAATGTTTAATTTGTGGTGAGAGTAAAAAGCAGTTTATTTTTAATTCCCTAATAATACTATGTTTCCACTTAAACTCTAAGAGTAAAACTTGGCAATATTTATTACTTCACTTGAAATTATCCAAAATAAAATACCCCGTGTCTGTTTTTTTTTTAGCCTTTCAGCCAGATTATTTTCACTTTAGAGGGTTAATATTAGTTACTGTATGTGTATTGTATGTGGAGTCAGTTTTTTAGGGTATCTTTTTCTATTTACAACCCTCTGTTCTATCTCCCAGTGTGTGAAATGTCATTTATCCTAAAAATAGGGAAACAAGCATCTATATTAGCTTATCGTTATTTTGTAATAGTAAATTCATTTGTATATGACTGGATTTGTAGTCATGAGATTTATAATATTAATTCAGATAGAAAGTTGAGGATCTGACTGAAATATTGTCAAGTGAAAACTGATTACATTTCTGCCCTTTTTGTACCTTCCTCCAAACAAAAGGAAGGAAAGGAAGGTGGAGAGGGAGGAAGGCAAAACAGTTCTGCTTCATCAAATTTCTTGATGGAACCCTTGAGGGATTTAAAGCCAAGAGAAATTGCCCCGCTTAAGAATCATTTCAGATTCCTCCCATGCTATTTGATTTAAGCTGTTTTGTTACTATTTTATTTGACTTGTGATATTCTTCAGTTGGATTCAGGTTCTTCTGTGTCAAAATCTGTTAATAAATTAAACCTCTAAAACAAAAATAAGGCAGGCAGCAGAGTGTCTTGGAAGGAGGACTGATGATTCTTTAGTTTGTCATAGGAAGGGAGCTCGGTGGATGATGACCAAATAGGAAATAAGTCTGTTATGTAGAGCTCTGCATATTTGAGGCTGTCTGACCATCAGAATAGAGCAGAACAAACTAATTTGTCTGACATCTTATAGCTTGCACAATTCTTCCATATACATTCTTAACTCAATGGATCCTACAACAATGATCTCATGTAGAAAGCATTCATGTGCACAAAAGACAGTTATTTTAAACAACTATGGGATAAGAGGAAGCAAATTAATATTTGTCAACATCTACCAGTTGCCTGACTCACTAGGTGCTTGATGTGTTAGCTTTTTCAGGGAAGATGATGATAACCCCATTTAACAGATGAAGCAACCAGCCCAGAAAGGTCAAAAATATACCTATATTCAGTCAGTAGGAAATGGCAGGTCCAAGGTCTAAACCCAGGTCTCTGCCTACAAAATGAAAGTTTAGGACAAGAAGATGGAATAAGTCCCAATATGTAAGTCTACATTTTAGAATCATGACATCATAGGGATTATAAGAGTTCAACGAACGCAGAAAGGTCTCATGTTCCCTTAAATGTGGATTCGAAGCCTTAGTTTGCCACAATTCTTCTGATCCAGCTGAATGGACTGTTTCTTATCCCTCTAAATGTTTTTAACAAATATACATGTTAATGTGTTTATATCTTTACGTAAAAGCTGTAATTGAAATTAAGTCCAATTAATATTAAAAATATTGGTACTAGCATTCTGACTCTTACCAGTTCTGGCACTTAGAGTCAGTTTGTTTTAGGCAACATTTCAAAGGAATGAACATTGCATGTAAGAGAGCTTTTTCATTTTTAGACTGTTGTTTATATTCACATGTACATTCTTAAAATTCTTTTCAAAATTGAGCACCAAATACTTTGTGTTCACAATAAACACCCATATGCCAAGATAAATGAGGTGTTTTCCTTTTTTTATTTAATTTATTTGAAATGGAAGAAACTAGAGGTGTGTGAAAACCACAGTTTCCTCAGAATTTTCCACAGCAAACACTGTGTCACCTTTAAATAAGGAAAGCTATGGTTTCCTTCATACCCCCCAATGTGAAGACTTTTTCATGCAGGTGTAAAACTATTTGTTTACAGAGACTAGCTTAGCCTTTTATGCTTCAGAATAAATTTCTTTAAATTTAAGATGTATGACTGCATTTGAGCCCTATTAACCTCCATAACATTTTCTCTCTCTCCTATGAAGTTTATCAGATTCTGCCTTAAATTAGTTATTTGTGCATTTGTCTTAGCCTTTTAAATTAGAACAAGATTGTGAGCCTCAGAAAGATGGTGTTTGTGTCCTCATGTATAAGACCATGCCTTCATAAATAAGGCATGTTTGTGTAAGAATAAATATTAAATCTCAGTGAATATAAAGAGGGAGAAAGTAAGTGGAGAAGGAAGATGGATAGGAGAGAAATAAGGAGAGATAAAGGATTTGTAGTCTCAAGGCAGGGGCTGCCCTACTTATTAAATACTTTTGAGTTCTTACACTTAGCCCAGTGCCTTAAGCAAAATGTAGACATCTCAAATTGCAGCGGAGACCCAAAACACTGCCAAAGGTATGAACCTGAGGCCACTTGCTTCACAAACCTCTTTTTTTACGTTTCTATTTAATTTCTTTACAAAAAGGTTTGAGGGGGGTTTGGAGTTGGGTCACAGAATAAGAGAGAGTTTCCTCCAATAGTTTAGAAGAAAACTTGTTGAGAATACTAGACTGAATTCAGAAACCTGACTACTTTGAGTTCTGGCTTGTTCCTGACTGGCTAGGTAATCTTGATATCAAGACTGTTAATCTAATTGTTAGATAAAATCTTTTGTCTATATTCTCTTTACTTCTTGTTAAGATCTGAATTTAAAAAATTAAAGAGTTCTAATTACTTTCTTAAGAGTAAAATTAAAGAAAGGTTTTAAGTGTTAAATTTGACATTTTTTTACTTAAGAGAAATAAAAAAGTTTATTTAAATCATTGCTATAGTTTATAAATTTGATTTTTTTTTTTTTTTTTTTGCTTGAGGAAGATTCGCCCTGAACTAACATCTGTGCCAGTTTTCCTCTATTTTGTATGTAGGTTGCCACCACAGCATGGCCACCAAAGAGTGGTCTAGGTTTGTGCCGAGGAACCGAACCTGGGCCACCAAAGCAGAGCGCACCAGAACTTAACCACTAGGCCACGGGGCCGGCCCCATAGATTTGATATTTTTAACTAAGACTTTCTTTAAATCAAACATTTTAAGAACTACATGTATAACATTTTTTATTGGTCTTTTAGAATGAAAAATTAAATCCTTAGTATTTATAAAGCATAGAATTAATGTGTATGTCAGTAACAGTTTTTCCATTTGCACAGTTTTTTCCCATTAGAATATTTTTTCTACTCCCCAAATTATAAGCTACTCAGATTTGCAAATCAGTAACAGACCATCAAGAACAGATATG